TCTGTTCCCTCGTCGGATTATCTAGCTCCTCATATCAATGAGTCAGATCTCTGGGATTATTTTTATGGAGATAGAGAGGATATCTTCCCCTTCGAGCCACCATATTCAGCTCCTGAACCAGTAATTAATCCAGTTAGTGTTGAACCTGATCCTATGCCTGAATTGCTAGCCCCAGATCCTATAAACCATTCAGGAACTCTATTTTTTCAACCGGTTTATTTGTCGCCAGATTCAATCAGTGAACCCGTCAGTCCAGTTCCAAAGATCCCTCGGCGTAAGAGGAGGCGTCGCCTTAAATCAGCGCTGTGCCGTCTAGAGACCCCTGAGCCTGCTCTGTGCCGTCTAGAGACCCCTGAGCCTGCTCTGTGCCGTCCTGAGACCCCTGAGCATACACTTAAGAGAGCTTCTGAAATTAGTGTTGGTGAAAATGTGCCTCCAAGGTTCCCTCAGGAGAGGCCACTAATCGCCAAGAACCCTCCACCTACGTCTCAAGCCACCTCAGAGCCTGAACTTGACCCTCCTTGGGTGGTTCCTCCGTTTCCAGAGGTGGAACCACAGTCGGTGGTCCCACCTGCTTCTGAGGCTGAATCACAGTCGGTGTTGTCTCCTGTTCCTGTGGTGGAGCCACAGTCGGTGGCCTCCCCAGTTCCTGAGGCTGAACCACAGTCGGTGGTATCGCCTGCACCTGAGACTGAACCACATTCGGTGGTTCCGCATGTTCCTGTGGTGGAGCCACTGTCGGTGGTCTTCCCCGTTCCTGATCGGGAGCCGCAATCGGCGTGCTCCCCTGTTTCTGACCGGGAGCCGCAATCGGCGGGCTCCCCTGTTCCTGACCGGGAGCCGCAATCGGCGGGCTCCCCTGTTCCTGACCGGGAGCCGCAATCGGCGGCCTCCCCTGTTCCTGACCGGGAGCCGCAATCGGCGGGCTCCCCTGTTCCTGACCGGGAGCCGCAATCGGCGGGCTCCCCTGCTCCAAAACCGCAGTCGGCGGTTTCCTCAGAGCCTCCTCCAGAGCCACAGCTGGCGGCTTCCTCAGAGCCTCCTCCTGAGCCGCAGCCGGCGGCTTCCTCAGAGCCTCCTCCTGAGCCGCAGCCGGCGGTCTCCTCAGAGCCTCCTCCAGAGCCGCAGTCGGCGGACTCTTCAGAGCCTCCTCCAGAGCCGCAGTCGGCGGACTCTTCAGAGCCTCCTCCAGAGCCGCAGTCGGCAGCTGTTTCTGAGACTGTTCCTGAGCTGCCGAGGAGGGGACGGGGTACCCCGTGGGGGTACCTGCTGAAGCTTGGGCGTCATCCTCCTGATAAGCTGCTTCGCCTCCGGCCCCGCGGCAGACCTCCAGAGCGTCAGCTTCGCCTCCGGCCCCGCGGCAGACCTCCAGAGCGTCAGCTTCGCCTTCGGCCTCGCGGCAGACCTCCTGAGCGTCAGCTTCACCGTCGACCCCGTGGCAGACCCCCAGAGTGTCAGCATCGCCTTCGACCCCGCTGCGGGCCACCTAAGACTCTGCTCCGTTGCCGGATCGTAGGCCGGTCTCCTGAACCTCAACCGTGTCTCCGGCCCGGCGGCGGTCCACCTAAGACGCTGCTCCACCTTCATCTCAACGGTCAACCTCCTGAGCAGCAACTACGCCTCCGCCGTCGGCCCCACGGTAGGCCACCTGAGACTGTGTCTTGCAGCCGGCCCCACGGCAGGCCACCTGAGACTGTGTCCTGCAGCCGGCCCCACGGCAGGCCACCTGAGACTGTGTACTGCAGCCGGCCCCACGGCAGGCCACCTGAGATTGTGTCCTGCTGCCGGGTACTTCGGCCGGCCACCTGAGACTGTGTCCTGCTGCCGGTACTTCGGCCGGCCACCTGAGACTGTGTCCTGCTGCCGGTACTTCGGCCGGCCACCTGAGACTGTGTCCTGCTGCCGGTACTTTGGCCGGCCACCTGAGACTGTGTCCTGCTGCCGGCCCCACGGCAGCCCACCTGGGACTGTGTCCTGCTGCCGGTCCCTCGGCTGGCCACCAGAGACTTTGCCAAAGAAAGTTTTTGGGTTTTCTTTTGCTGTCGTCCACCATAAATGGATCGTTTTTTGTTCTGGACTCTGTTTTTGTTTTCTGCCCTCCTGGCCTGTTTCCCCCTTCGCCCACCCTGGGTGGGTTGTTTTTTGGACCTTTTTTTCTGTTGGTTCTGGCCCTCCTCGCCCTAGTGCCCCCGCCGCCCGCCCTGGGTGGGTTGTTTTTGTTTTCTGTACTCTGTTTTTTGTTGTTTCTGGCCCTCCTCACCGTAGTGCCCCCTCCGCCCGCCCTGGGTGGGTTGTTTTTTGGACTTTTTTTTTCAGGGGGCGTCTGGAATCCGCCCTTGAGGGGGGGGCTCTGTTGGGATCCTCAGGCTTGCCCACCAGAGGGCGCCGAGGATCCTCTTCTGCTCTCTTTGTCTTTTCCTTAGGGCTGGAGTCACTGTCAGGTTCTGGAGATTACCCTCTGCCTCCAGCAGAGTGCGCCGTGGGTCCTCCTGAGTTGAGCCTCTCACACACCTCTGGCTGATCTACTAATCAGGAGGACCACAGTATTTAAGCTGCCTTCAGACCTGGATTCCACGCCGCAGTGTTGATCTTAGTTGGTTAGCTTCCTGAACCTTCTGCTATAGAGTCTTGGTTGTTCCTAGGTCGAGACCAGGTTCTAATATCTTCTTTATCTCTGCCTCACAGGAATCCTGTCCCTCGTGGAAGCTCTGGATGAGCTTAACCTCCTGTATCTTCGTGAAAGCTCTGGATGAGCTTAACCTAACCTGCTAAGCTGCCCTGGTGAGCCAACCCTAAGATTCCTACATGGTTGAAACCTGACGACCCCTATGTGGAGTTTCCCTAGAGGTTCCCATGTGGATTTCCCGTGTCTTCCCTGTTGTTCTCTGAGTTGAGCTGGAAGCTCAGATCCTCCCAAAGATTCCTACGTGGTTGAAACCTGACGACCCCTATGTGGAGTTTCCCTAGAGGTTCCCATGTGGATTTCCCGTGTCTTCCCTGTTGTTCTCTGAGTTGAGCTGGAAGCTCAGATCTTAGTTAGCTTTGCTAAGCTAACAGCTAGTGGCTTAGCCCCTCATGAACTCTGAAACCAACCATCTCCCTTTCCCTGCTCGGACCCCAGTCAGAGATGGCAAAAGTACTCACTTTCCGTACTTGAGTAAAAGTAAAGATACTTGTGTTAAAAAATACTCTGGTAAAAGTGGAAGTACTGATTAAACTTCTTTACTCCAGTAAAAGTAACAAAGTACAGGCTTATAAATTTACTTAAAGTATAAAAGTAAAAGTAGAAACCACTTTTTTCATGCCGTTGCCTACATTTTAAATGGATGTCTGCCAATAGGACTAAAACATATTTTTTTTATATATATATATATATATATATATATATATATATATATATATATATATATATATATGACTGACAGAGACTGGGACTCCAGGTTAATAAGATTCTGACTCATTAGCAAGATATAAATTCAATTGTGATTTTGTGAGAATTCACAGACCCAGTTTCTCTTTTTTAATCTTGTCATTAACATTTGGAATCTGCATGTATGTGTGCATGCTCAAACATGGCAACAAAACAAGAAAAAATAGGATAATATATGACTTACTTAACAGTTATTAACGAAGTTCCCCATACTTTTAGAGTTGCAACTAACAGATGGCAGCAGCGTATACGAAATGAACTGACAGCTAGTAAAGCTTTGAACATAGAGTGCTAATAAAGGGTAATGTCCATTTTTACAATTTAAGTGCTATAAAAGTTGTAGAAATTACAAATTCAATGTGTATTGTATAACTTTTTTTTATTAATATGAAAAATAGACAATAGCGAAAGAAGCTGGCCAACCACCTTAATCAAACTAAACAAAAACTATATTACATTGGTGAAAAGTCTGGAACAAAAAAGGCTTTTCATTGAGAGCAGGAGCTCAAAGTTAAAGAAAAATCTGAGCGAGAGACCGCAAGTGATCAAATGTACAGTATAGCTCAAGGTCTGTGTGTGCTTGATGTTGGGTGAACATCCAAGTCCCAAAACATGTGGAAAAACTTCTAAGGCAACATAACAAACATAATCTTTTTTTAGCATCTGTGTTAGTGTGTGTGTGTGTGGGTATCAGTGTAAATGTGTGTTTGCATGATACAGAGAAAGAATACCAAACTACCAGAAATCTCTGTTTAGCTTCAAAAGAAGCTGGTTTTCAAAGTTCATGGCATCAACACGGGCCCTTTTTGGTGTAAAAATCAGGCCTGCAGTGCTGAACAGTCTCTCGCAGGCAGCAGAGGCAGGTAGTGCCGTGTTAAGCCTCAATGACAGGTGGCATACTGCTGGGAAAGACTTCAGTACATCCATTGTATCACCTGGGCACCCCAGGTACATTTCCAGCTGTTTGGTATTTTCTTGGGAACTAGAGTGCTTGAGTGCTGAAAAAAAGTCCTCCTCCTCCGAGGAATGGGACGTATCACCTTCATTCACCACAACTTGTTCCTTCAGGTGACTTTTGATGTAGTCAAGGCCTATGAAACACAAAATCAAATTGGATGTCAACACTCTAAGACGGTTTATAACATTATTTTGAACAAAAAATATAATGATTACATAAATATTGTCATTTTGTTTGCACTAAGTTAGGGATACTTCAAATGCTGGACTTTGAACTATTATAAGTGTAAAGTAAGCATTGCAAGACATACCCAGTTTTAGGATACATTCATCACTTGTCCAGCAGGTCTTGAATTTGGGGACAAGAATGGCAGCGGCAATTAGCTCTGGATCTGTAAGCATCTGTCCAAAACGTTTTTTAAGGCCTGCTAGAAGTGCTTCAATCAAAGGCCGACAGGACTTGGAGGAAATGCAGAGGTGCTGGAGCTTCTCCTGGAGTAGTGTTATTGTAGGTACCAACCATCCCATCTGTACATTGGCCTCTCCCTGGAGAACATCAAGCGCCTTTGCAATTGGGCTCATAGTCTTGGTATACTCTGCCAAAAAAGCAAGCTCAACAGGAGTGAGCCTAACAATAAAAACAAAAACAATTAATTATTAATATAGAATTTCATTCATAGTGGGAATCAAAGTATTCATTAGGAAATTTTAAACCCATCCTTAACTGCAAGACATTAACTAAATATGAAGCTACCTCATATTGCAGTCAATAAATCTATAAATAAAATGGCAAGTACATACATGGGTATCTTTAGCGCGCTGCAGACAGCTGTGATTGCTCCTTCTCCTTGTTCCTTTATGATTCTCACAATCCTCTCCACGGCAAAGAAAAGGGAGTTCCACCGTGTCTCATTTGGCCTCAGGAGCTGAAGTTTGCAGTTATCTTCTATGATTTCAGCAGCTGTGGTGGATCTTGAGCTTTTGCTCCACAGACTTGAACATTTGGAGAATGCTGAACGAGACAGACGCTTGTACACTGGATTTTCATTTGCTTTCAAGGCATCAGCAGTGGAGATCAGGTTGAGAAGGTGGCATGCACAACGTTGGTGCTTTGGCAGCTGGTATTCCAAGCCATTATCTTCATCCAATATTGTCCCGGCTTCAACAAACTCGACACCTGTGATATCTCCCCCTTCTTCTTCATCACTCTCTCCTCCCATACTTTCCCTTGCACCCTGAAGTGCAGTATCTGGATTGTTATTTTCATCCAGCTCACCATAGACTCTAAAGGCCTTTATGAAATTTGAACCATTGTCAGTTGTTGTGCAAACAATCTTGTCTCGGATGTTGTACTCCACATGTATATCGTTGAGAGCACTAGCAAGGGCAGAAAAAGTATGCGACCCTTTTAGCTGCTTGCAGGCTAGGGCAGCACAGCGCCTCTGCAGAGTTGCACTATCTATCCAATGCGCAGTGACACCTATAAAACCCCGTCGGTGTGTGGTCCAGCAATCTGTGGTGGTTGCAATAACCTCAACTTTCTTCAAAGCCAATTTCAGATTATTTTTCATTTCTTGTGTTGCTTTCTCCACTTTGTTTTTAAGAGTGCCACGAGACATAATTGTTAGATTGGGCTGGAGGAGAAGCAGAAGGTCTCTGAATCCCTGCTGCTCAACTACACTTAGTGGGTGTAGCCCTTGAATGACGAAGTCAATGATTCCCTTTTCCACACTGACCTGTGACACTCTCTTGGCTTCCCATAACTTTGGTTGTTTGGGTGATGGGCCTGCATTCATGGTTGACTTTCTTTTCTGAACAGCTGAAGTGAGCTTTCTGTATCTCTCCATATGATTGACATGCATTCTCTGTGAGTGAAAATACAAACACACAAAACAAATTGTTCAGTGATATAGCCAAGACTGTCTGATGTAACTTACTATGCAATTTGAAACATTAGGCACCATGGCTTAAAACCAATATCTTGGCATGATTAAAACTAACAAAATATCACAGTATACATAGCCCATAATTATTTCTTAACATGTCAATACACTGTAAATGTAGCCTCTACCTCTGAATGGGTAAAGCACTGGTATAGCAACTGTATGACAGCTATTACTGCTTTTTTCTTTTGTTTGAACCTGCAAATTATTTATGACTAGTAAAGTCTAACTTTGGACTTATGTCATCCTTGATTCTAGTGACTGGCTGACTGATCTGGGGAGTGCAAGCAGAGGTCATAGAATACAAATGTAACATTTCTTAACTGTCTTAACTTGTGTTTCCCACATCCCTTAACCAGCTCACACACAGTTTGAAAGAAACGTATGGGGCCAAAATTGTTGCTTTATTATTTATAAATGTGTGTGGAGAGTTGTATATCTGTATCTCGATTTGTGCGTGTGCAGGGGGATTTGAAAATGTGTAAATGAAACTGTAAATGTGTGAGGAGATTTGTGTGTCTGTACAACAATCTGCAAAGGTGCAAAACTGTCTACTTGTGTGTGTGTAATCTGGTTTGCAAATGTGTAAAAAATCCACAAATCTGTATCAAGATCTACAAATATGTACTGAGATTTGTAAATGTGTAAAAAATACACAAATCTATATTCAGATCTACAAATACGTACTGAGATTTACAAATCTGTATTCAGATTTACAAATCTGTACTAAGATTTGCAAATGTGTAGAACAATCTGTAAACACACACAGAGACACTGTGTCCGAAGTATTTTCGCTTCAACACCCAGAAATACAGACACATCATTGGTTACAAGTCCAGCAGTTTCTCGGTTGGCTCTCTTTACACACGTGATTTTTGCTACACTTCTGCCGTGTGAGATGCACAAATGTGTATCTGTAAAATCTGTAATACAGATTTGTGGATTTTTTACACATTTACAAATCTCAGTACATATTTGTAGATCTTAATACAGATTTGTGGATTTTTTACACATTTGCAAACCAGATTACACACACACAAGTAGACAGTTTTGCACATTTTCAGATTGTTGTACAGACATACAAATCTCCTCACACATTTAGTTTCATTTACACATTTTCAAATCCCCCTGCACACGCACAAATCGAGATACAGATATACAACTTTCCACACACATTTGTAAATAATAAAGCAACAATTTTGGCCCCATAGAAAAGTAAAGTCTTGAATTAAAAACATGAGTAATTTAATGTCTGGGATGTTTGAGACATTAACGTCAAAAAACATCAGCCAAAAATAAAGTCGATTTAAGACAAGACCGAGTAACGTTAACTTAAGTGGTCTCCAAAAAAAGACAGCTACACGACAGGAGAATAACAGCCATAATCGAAAAACAAGTAAGCTTTCCTTCTTTTCCTCACCTCTTGCTACAGCTAGCCACAAACAAACAGGGTGGTTTGTAAAAGTGATGAGGCTTGTTTTATTGTGTTTAACCGGGGCTTCTTCTTAATGTCTCAACGTTCTTGTCTCGGCATTCATAGTTGTGTAAAAAATGTTAGCGTCCATTTTGAGCAGGTCGACAGACAGATATTGTATCAGCCAGCTTGTATTAGAATTTCAAATAAAGTGAAAGCTTGCTAACCTAACGTCACTTGAGTTACTTGCTAGCAAAATGCTAGAGAATCAAGTCATGGTAATTGTAAGCTAGCAGGAGGACAAATATAACTGACCATTAACGTACACTTAATAAAGACAACAAACAACAAATAGCTTTTGATAACAACAAAAATATGCATTTACCTCTATATGCTTTTTCAAATTCGATGGTGAATTCTTGAAAGCCAGCAGTTCATGGTGTTTTGGTTGGCACAATTTGCAGCACATTCGCCAGGAGTCATTCTTGATGCCTACTATGTCAAACATCTCTTTCAGATAAGGCCAAGGGTGATCGGGAATGTCTTGCTGCTTTTCTGCCGAATCTCTGGAATCTCCGTTGTTTTCACTTTCCATCCTCTCGTCGTCCATACTTCTATGCTAACGCTTATGCTAACGCTAACGCTACCTCTACCGCCACCAAGCTGCAATGATTTGCCGCGAATGAATACCGCCGAATCTGCGGATTCATCTTGTAGTGGTGCGTGAAAAGCAATGTAGATTGATGACGTGAATAATAATAACGGTAACTCCATTGAAATGATTAAAAACTAAAGTAACGAGCCAATTTTTAAAATGTAAGGAGTAGAAAGTACAGATATTTGTGTAAAAATGTAAGGAGTAGAAGTACAAAGTCGCCATAAAAATAAGTAGTAAAGTAAAGTAAAAATATCAGAAAAATCTACTTGAGCACAGTAACGAAGTATTTGTACTTCGTTACTTCCCATCTCTGACCCCAGTGAACCAGCCCCCCGGACTGAACTGTACCTGTTCATTTCTTTGTGCTTGTGCCTTAAATAAACTCTTTGGACTTTTACTCGAGTCTCCGTGTGTGTTCTACATCTTGGGCTAACTCTCTAGTGCCCATCATGACAGTTTTTTTTTTATATCTTGGGGGATTGTTAATAAACTTTAATTCATTGGAATTTCATTTGATGAACCAGCATGAAGAATCACATTATTGTAAGCAGGAAAATTGTAATACCCACTGATATTATTCATGTCGACTTTCATAAATCGACATAAAATTCAGTCAAAGCAATTTTCTACAAGTCAATTATTATAAAGCAGAGCATACCTGTGTGTAATTTTACATTTTTTATACTGCTACAAAGGCTTTAGAAGTTTGTTAGAGAATAGTAAATTATGGTTAATAGTATAGATTAGTAAAAATAAAAAAAACAGCACACAGGTCAGGGGGAAGTTTTTTTGCAGTATTCCAAGCGTTAAAAATTCCCCAAAAAATTTGTTCAGTCCACCATAAGATTATGGAAAGATTATGGTAGAACTGCAGAGTTGCAATGAGATGGCCACCAACCTAAAAATACAGGGTCGGTAAACTGAGTAGGTATGTGCTATAGCAGCAGCCAAGGGGCACATCTTACTTCAGAAGGGATTATTGCACAGTTAAACTTTTTTGTTCTACATGCAGAATTTTAAGAGTGATACAAAAGTAGCACTAGACATTACCATGAAAGCACCATCTACCCTTAAAGGCATGTTGCTAAATACAGGAAATACATAGGAGAAAACACATTAGAAGTATCAAGAGACTGGGGCTGAGGTCCACATTCCAGTAGACTTTAGATACTTTTTAGACAGATTTTATTTGTCATTTTGTTTACACAAGTGTAAAACAAAAAGAAATTTTGTTTTAAAAAAGCTCACTGGATAATTTCCTCTTTTAATATTGCAGCCTTGAAAAATAGTAAAAATTACTGTAAATTTACAGTTCTATTTTTTTTTTCATTAGAATAACTACCTTAAATATATAATTCAGTTCAATTAATTTCATCTATATAGTGCCAATTCACAACACATGTCATCTCAAGGCACCTTACAGGTGCTGGTCATAAAATTAGAATATCATGAAAAAGTAGATTGATTTCAGTAATTCCATTTAAAAAGTGAAACTTGTATATTATATTCATACATTACATACAAACTCATATATTTCAGATGTTTATTTTGTTTAATTTTGATGATTACAAATGACAACAAATGAAAATCTCAAATTCATCATATCAGAAAATTAGAATATTGTGAAAAGGTTCAAAATTGATGGCCCCTGGTGCCACACTCTAATCAGCTAATTAACTCAAACCACCTGCAAAAGCCTTTAAATGGTCTTTCAGTCTAGTTCTATAGGCTACACAATCATGGGGAAGACTGCTGACTTGACAGTTGTCCAAACGATGACCATCGACACCTTGCACAAGGAGGGCAAGACACAAAAGGTCATCGCTAAAGAGGCTGGCTGTTCACAGAGCTCAGTGTCCAAGCACATTAATAGAGAGGCGAAGGGAAGGAAAAGATGTGGTCGAAAAAAGTGTACAAGCAAGAGAGATAACCGCACCCTGGAGAGGATTGTGAAACAAAACCCCTTCAAAAATGTGGGGGAGATTCACAAAGAGTGGACTGCAGCTGGAGTGAGTGCTTCAAGAACCACCACACACAGACGTATGAAAGACATGGGTTTCTGCTGTCGCATTCCTTGTGTCAAGCCACTCTTGAACCACAGACAGCGTCAGAAGCGTCTAAAGAGAAACAGGACTGGACTGCTGGTGAGTGGTCCAAAGTCATGTTCTCTGATGAAAGTAAATTTTGCATTTCCTTTGGAAATCAAGGTCCCAGAGTCTGGAGGAAAAGAAGAGAGGCACTTCATCCACGTTGCTTGAAGTCCAGTGTAAAGTTTCCACAGTCAGTGATGGTTTGGGGTGCCATGTCATCTGCTGGTGTTGGTCCATTGTGTTTTCTGAGGTCCAGGGTCAACGCAGCCACATACCAGGAAGTTTTAGAGCACTTCATGCTTCCTGCAGCTGACCAACTTTTTGGAGATGCAGATTTCATTTTCCAACAGGACTTGGCACCTGCACACAGTGCCAAAGCTACCAGTACCTGGTTGAAGGACCATGGTATCCCTGTTCTTAATTGGCCAGCAAACTCTCCTGACCTTAACCCCATAGAAAATCTATGGGGTATTGTGAAGAAGAAGATGCAATACACCAGACCCAACAATTCAGAAGAGCTAAAAGCCACTATTAGAGCAACCTGGGCTATCATAACACCTGAGCAGTGCCACAGACTGATCGACTCCATGCCACGCCGCATTGCTGCAGTAATACAGGCCAAAGGAGGCCCAACTAAATACTGAGTGCTGTACATGCTCATACTTTTCATGTTCATACTTTTCAGTTGGCCAACATTTCTATAAATCCTTTGTTTTTATTGGTCTTCAGTAATATTCTAATTTTCTGATATGATGAATTTGAGATTTTCATTTGTTGTCATTTGTAATCATCAAAATTAAACAAAATAAACATCTGAAATATATGAGTTTGTATGTAATGTATGAATATAATATACAAGTTTCACTTTTTAAATGGAATTACTGAAATCAATCTACTTTTTCATGATATTCTAATTTTATGACCAGCACCTGTACAGAGAAAATTCAACCTGATCATGCAGTGAGATTGGTTCAAAGTTTTGTATTTAAAGAAAACCAGCCGATTGCATCGACTGCATAACTGCATAACCTGAAAGCAAACCCGCAAACCAGTCATGCTTGTAGCAACAATGGAGAGGAAAACCTCCTTTAAACAGGAAGAAACCTCCAGCAGAATCAGGCTCAGTGTGGTACAGTTGAATGGTTTGATCTATAAGCTGGTACAGTATGGCCCTTCCAAAGTCAAGACATGAGACCGGGAATCAGCCACAAGACTTAAGAGGAAAGTCTTAAAGATGTTGTCTTTCCAATCTGACTGATCTTGAATAATTTTCCAACATGAATTGCCTTCACGTGCCAAGATGTTGAGAATAATCAAGGACTGAATTCTTGAAAAATTGACTGTCGCCCATTCGATACAACCCTATGAAATAATAATTTACAGTTGGAAATGACCGGAAATATTTCTGGGGACAATTTTAATCTGACCTTTTAACCAAGTATATATGTTGTTTAAAGAAAAAAAAGTTTGTCTGATCTGACTTTTCCACAGAATTTTCCGGATGGGACATCCTTGTCTACTAGAGGAAGCTTAAGATTTTTGCAGTTAAAACTTCATTAACACTTTGTTGGGTGCCTCTTTGAGACAGTAACAAAGAAAAAAAACTACTGCGTGATTTCTGAGGTGAATGTATTTCTGCACCACTTGCTTGAATACCTCTAACAAAGGCACATGGCAAAAGCAAAAATGGGGGAAAAAAGGGAAGTGATTGGAGCTAACAACCCGCATCACTAGGTGCTGAGATTTGAAACATATGTCATATTGTTGCACATCAGTGATAAAAACTAATAACAGTATTCCCAGACTGCTCTGTATGAGTGAGAGGCAGACACAAAGCCCTGGCAGAAAAAAGCTCCCCTGCCGCCACTTGTCCCACAATGTCAGATACATCAGCAATGCTAATGCCCGTGCAGCATCCTGAACCACTGAAAAGACAACCATTTAGGCTTTAAAAGACACACATAAAGAAAAAAGGAATGGAGGAGAGGAAAAGATAAGGAAAATGATAGAAAACATGAAAGGGGAAGAGGGGGAAAGAATGAGGACTGGCTATGGCTTGCTGGGGGGGTGGGGGGGCAAAAGAGGAAGTTAATTACATATTCTGAACCTGGCCGATGCAGTCCTGGGGGATCTGCCTCCGCACCTCAGGATCTGTAAATAATTGACAGATAATATTAATTGGCATTGGATTAGTGAGCAAGCTCAGTATCACACATTAATATTTGATCAGAGGATGATAGGGACCCTGGCAGGGGATCCGAAGGGGCAGCTGAGGCTGTTTTGTTGATTAGGCCAGAGAAGGGAGGAGAAGGTGGCAAGTTGTATAGAGGTAGCAGCAGTAGCAGCAACAACAGCAGCTCAACATACATAAACAGACACACACAGATGGCTTGGTTTGATGCTCCCGTTAGCTCCAGGCAGCAGAACCTCCTACTGGTGGCAAACTGCCTGCTTCTTGCTTCCGCTGAAAGAATTTTAAAGAAGAAATCAGGAATGACCAGTTATTTTGGTAGCTCTTCTTTTTACTTGAAACTATGTATGTTGCCTCTCAAACACGATGTTATCTACCAAGATGTTAGGTTACTTTTGTTCAAGTAGAATTGGAAGCCAGCTTTGTTTTGTTCGAGCTTTGATGTTTCATGATCGTAATGCTGATTCAGAGTTGTGGCATTGTGAGCAGGAAAAACATTGATATGGGCTGAGATTTTGGTGATATGGTTTATCTTATGTATTTTATGATTAAATATGGTTTTTATATATATCTAGTGCCATTGACAAGTACAGCCTCATTCACTTATACAGTTTTATGTTTGAAGAGATTATAAGAAGGCTCTTCTCTTTACCAGGTTCTAACATTGTTTA